CTTTTTCAATTCTTAAGTTAACAAATTTTGCTGTTGTTTTAAAATTCTAATGTTATTTTTATCGAAGTGATACCTTAGACATTTCTAGAAATATTTTAAAGTCATTAGGGTTCTTTTTTATGTGGGGATACGTGAAAAGTGAGCAATGCTCTCACCGGGACTCGAACCTGGACCTCGTGAATACACTTCGAGTATTCTATCGTAGCACCACGAAAGCATGCTGAAAGGACGGAGAAAATAGCTTACACACTTCTCCTTTTATAGGGCGACTGGAAATTAGGCGACCCAATTGCCAAATCCTTGTGGTGACGAATTATTGTCCATTACGTGTAAGTTTGGACGCCACAGTAGAGTCATTAGAGCGTTTTTTTACGCGGGAGACGTGAAAAAGGAGCAATGTCTTCACCGGGACTCGAAACAGGACCTCTTGAATACGCGTCGAGTGTACTACCGTTACACTACTAAGGCATACTGAAAGAAGGGAGTAATAGCTCCTCTAAGTACTTCTGCTGAACTTGCATCTTGTTTTTACTTTAAAAACTATCCAAGCATTTATAGCTGCAGGCTTAGTATTACTCAATAATATGGTAAACTTGAATCCCACCTCAGATCATTAGAATCCATTGGGATTCGTGTTCCTCACACGAATATTCTGCAATGCTCTTCCCATTTGTAGTATTCCACAAGACTACAAATGGGCAGAGTTTGGTTGAGTTTTGTTGAGAAACTCAGTAAATGAAGAGAAATCGTTTAGTGCAAGACAGACACAGCTTTTAAATTTTCTAAGGGCTGAGGTCGAAGGGAAAGAAAGAATAATTCCAGTGAAGTCAGGTATGAAGCAGAGTGATCCCTACAGAAAAATTAATAAAGATAGGATGTAGAGACATTAGTTATTATTTGGAAGCAGGCAAAATGCAAAATGAGAAATTGCCTTCGCCGGGAATCGAACCACGTACCTCTGGAATACCGGCCAGCTTGCAGAACCACTACACCACGAAGGCACGCTAGGAAGGCGGGATAAATATTTTATATACTCCCCTTTTTAAACGGTGACTGGGGATTAGGGGGCCCAATCGTCAAATCCTAGGGGTGGAGAATCATCATCCACAACCCTTTTAATTCGAGCGCACTATAGAGACATTAGGATATTTTCGAAAGTAGATGAGATGAAAAATGAGTAACGTCTTCGCCGGGACTCGAACCACGGGCCTCACGAATACGCGCCGAACGTGCTGACCGCTACACTACGAGGGCTACTAAGAAAGCGGGAGAAATATCTTATAAATTAATCACAAATTCTGTATTTCGAGTATATTTCTGTTACCATCAGATATCGATTCAATATCCGTCAGATATTGTAATGTAAAAATTACTGTGTATTCTTATTAGAATGTAGGTTTCTTTTAAAGACACAATATTGTGAGAGTTACCAGCAGTTTTGCCATGCCTACTTTTTATTCGTCTTTCTCGTACTACGTGCTCATGCTGGTATAGCTGAGTTTTTTGGAAATTAAATTACTCTCATAATTTTCCGTTTTCTGGATGATAAAATTAGTTAAAGAAAAAGGTAAGAAATACGGAAGGAAATGCGGTATTAATAAAAGATAATACTTGTTATTTGCAAGAATTTTTCAAATAGATAAACATCTACGACAAAATATCATTACAATGACAAGGAAATATTCGGCGTTCATTTTGGGAAATGTACGACTTGTCCTATACATCTTCATCAGTGACACTTATTTAGGCGATAACTGAGTTTGTGTCTCACAAGTGATGCATGGATTGCAGCTGCTGTGATCTTTTACCTCTGTGCTGCATATATTGCAGTACTGCAGTTCATTTGAGCAATTTTTGCACATATCAGACTCGATTTCTTGTTAATATATGCGATCAAAGTGACTTTCTTTTCATGTTCTTATGCTTAGTGTATTTCCGTATACAAATACAATAAAACCATCAGGTATTTTAATAGGGAAAATCATTTTATTAAGTGGGGTCTGTTAGCTAGGTTTCATAAACACTGACTCGTAAATAAGTAATAGAAATCTGATAGCTTTAAGTAATAAACAAAGCGTTAACGATTTAAAATGATAATGTATTACCGAAGTTACTTAATTAGCATTGCTATAACCATGATTATTATAGCAATTATTTTATTAAAGTTTCGTTGATATAATAATATTTCTTGTTTTTAGAGCTAATATTTGTACTTAAATTATTTTCTCATGCATGTCAAAATGACATATTTAAAATAAACTATTGCATTTTTCAGAATTTTTGGGAATAAACTGATATTTTTCTGCAAATTAATGAATTCGCAATTTGACTTCTGATTTTATTGAACACTGCGAAGTCTGAACTGATTTGTTCCCCCCTTCCAAAAAATGCAACCGGGAATTAATGTTATAAAATATATAACCAAATGTAATACTTCGATTAAATTAGACTTCGGTTATGTATTTAATTTTGCTTTCCATCTGTTTAGAAACTCAGGTAAAATATGCTGTGTTTCGAAAGAAGTATATAACAAAAAGTGCAAAATTCGACCAGGAGGCCATTTTAAAATTAGCTATAATAAAACCCTCTTTCGAATCTCAAGGAGACTTTGATTCCCTGCATCTGGCATCCGATCTAACTACAACACCTATATCAAAAATGCTTAATCCTAATTACCAAGTTAAGAGTTGTGCAGTTTTCTTCAATACATTTGTATTTAGTGAAACATAAATGTATGATTATATCTGTTACAGCAAAATAAGTGGTAAGTTTGAGTTCTTCCCTCCTTTCTTCGATACGATTTTGTCCTAGAGATTTTTTTTTCTCGGTGAAAAATTTTCCACACCACCTTTAGAAAACTAACATGGCTTTTAGGCAGGTAAATCAAAGATCTAACGTCTTTATCAAATCTACGGACATGGAGTGCAATTAGAATTTTTTCCTACAAAAGTCTTCCTCGCAGAATAGTTACAAAGGCAGATTTCTACTCGCAACTTTGCGGAAAATACTGCGTTAAGTGATTTGTTTCACATACACACACGGGGGGACAGGACCTTTGGGCTCGTCGAAACGATCATAAAAATCCTCAAACTCGAAACACAAAAACTCATATTATATGATTAAAAGGTTATACTTTTTTACTTTATATCTTAAATAGATAGGCCTTATTATGTTGTATATGAAAAGAAAATTACAAATTAAAAGTTTAAAAATCTATACATAAGAGACATGTAAATAAAAATTGTCAAAGGTTGCGTGCATCATAAATTTGAAAATATTGGATATAGAAAAATTTGGGTAAAAATGTATTCGAAATACATTAACCTCTAATGTAAAGCCAAAATATATTATGAAATTAATTAAGAAATTAAATCATGTACCATGTACTACTTCAGAAGTAATACTAATTTTATTATGACAAATATGACATCATAAGTATTCTTCTAATCCAGAAAATATTAACTTTTAGCAATGATTGCATACCCTTCAAATTCGCTGCCACCAGATACTACTAAATGATCTTGAAGGTGTTTTGCTGATGGAGAGACATTTGCATCTTTATCATTACTTCTTGTGTACTGATTTAAAAAAAAAAAAAAAAAAAAAAAAATTCCTTTTACTTTTCTTTGGTCTTTGACCTGAAGCTCTTTTGATATTATTAGTCACTTTTAAATTTCGAAACAAATATCAAATATCTTTACATAAACGTTTACTCAATAAAACAAACTTGATATAAAGGACCGAAATAGAAACACTCAAACAACGTTAGGTTCATTGTGGAAATAAGAATTATCATGTAAACAAACTACCAGCAGTCAAGTTGAGTAGCTGCCATTCTTCTTCCCCTACACGAAAAGGAAATTAAATAAAAAACAGTATTAAATATTTCTGTGTATAATAATAAAAATATGAGCTCGTATTCTGGGTACCAAAAAGTAAACAACCACCATATTTGTCCATTTAAACAAGCGTCGCTGGTTTATTATTCTATATAAACTTTCATAACACAAGAAATAATGTGAATTTTACAACACGGTTTTTTGCATTTTGTTCAGAAATGTTTATATATTCATAAAATGTAAAAATTTGAAAATCGATTTTTTTGAAGATTTAAATGTCCTGTGCTCCCTTTATTTTACGTGGCTGAAGAAAGTGCCCTGGAAGCTTTATTTCACATGAACAACCAATCAGAGAAAGTTTTTGGTTTTGCAGAGTATACTTCTGATAATTCTTTCTTCGTATTTTTCTGAGGAGCTCTTCTTGATTGTCACTGTATTTTACATTCGTAAGTCTCATAGGTCATATTTCGAGTAATGGCAACATTTGTGAGGACAATATTTGCATATTAACCTAATCTAGTATTTAAGGCAAAACATTTTGAAAAACCTCTAAAGACGTTTCTGCACAGAGTGCATCTGATAATCCTTTCTTTACACTTTTACAGTTCTGTGAGGAACTCTTTTCGAAAAAGTCTCTCATTGCATTTTGCGTCCGTAATTTTCCAAGGCCTATATGTTTTGAGGAATGGTAACATTTTCAAGGATAATATTTGTATGCTATCCGGCAAAAATTTTGAAAAACTTCTTAAAAATGTTTCTTTCACAACAGTCATATGATTAAGTAAGACTCAAGAAAATCACGATATACCATTAACTCAAAAATGAAAGTATAATTCTACTTTTTTTCATTTACATGACCTCATTATGAATAGTGTTAAAACTACTTTGAATTATTTTTTGGTTGTTAGTAATCTTGAGAAAAATCATTCCATCCATTGAACTGAAACTTATATATAAAAATATACACATAACACAAGAAACAGTAAATACATAATTGCAAGTGACAGTTAGAGATACAAGTAGTTATAATGCTTTACTTTGTTCCGTAACACAATATTTTGTGCTGAAGAAATTTTTTCTGTAAGCTAAACTAAATAAAAATAAAGTTGATGTTACTAACACATGTTTCAAAGAATACCACACAAAAGTCTCTATACCTACGTTCTTCCAGTGTCGTGACAGCGACTTCCGCTCCAAACTGGCTCTCCCCAAGGGAATTTTCGCACTTCACGCGAAAAAAATAACGATTCTTCGGCTTTAATCCACGAATTACCACAGTTGTCTCCGTCCCAGGAACTGTCAAAGGCCCCCCGGTGCTTTGGCCTGAAAAAAGCAAACAAAATGCCACGTGAAGCTGAAAGAAGTTTGGACATCTCGTAATGGCCTTGAGGAGCTTGCCGGCTTTATTTTGGTAACACTAGATTTCAAGTTGGTAAACGAAGTAACATCAGCCCAGACTGGGATAAAGGCTTATTTGTAGCTTTAACAATTGCAACAACTGAAAAGAGTAACTACTAGCTTTGGTCTTTCGGTGTTTTATTCATTTTCAACCAACTATAAGCCGCAGAAAATAAGTACAGTAGAAATTTCCGGGAATAAAAAATCAATTAATCGTTATGAACGTAAGTGCTTTGCGTTTAAGAATTTTGTAAGCTAATATATTAATTCAGAAGTCAAACAATTATTCTGCGTGTTATTGTGTCTTAACTAATATATTAGTTAACTGATATTACAATGAGCTCGACTAAAGGTTATCTACTTTTCTGAACTTTGCATATTCTGTTAAGGACAATGAATTTTTCTTAGTTCTTGACATTTTTAGGATGCTCACTGTTATAACGTATTATTCCTACATATCAATTATGATTAAAAACCATTTATTTCAATAATAAATATATGTACTGCTTTTCAGAAGTTTCAAAATCTAGAATTTCTGTTTAAGAAATTTATGAAATATTTTAATTTATGTGCATTATTCAAGGCGGCTAAATTCCTCATGCGTATTGCAAAATGTGCTGATACTTCCTTCTTTATTTAAAATAATTTCATTCATTAAATTAAGATTTAGAAAGATAATAAAACAGCTAATGCAATCAATTAAGTAAAATATCATACTAGAAATATCGTTAAATTGTGATCTTAAGTTGTGCATTTCAATCAATAGACCCTTAACTATTCCCAATAAGAAATCCAATCCTTACTTCCCAGTAAGAAAATGATTGTATACCTACTACTATTAAAATTATGACCGTAAAAGTTTAGTATTTTTCAATATTTACATTAGCCTTTTATATTACAACAAAATAAACAAAATCAGATGCAACCACCTTATAATACATTGGAATTAGTTATTCTCGTATTTACCTACCACTAAATTTTAAGACCTAAGATAGTAAGTAATAATCATTTCCCATGAATAAACGAAATAATAGATATTATTTGTACATAAAAATTTACTATTCTGGATCAAAAACATACCTCCAATTTGTCTCCACATGACTGTATACTGCGTAATTGGTGAATTTCCATCGAATGGTTTGCTCCATGATAAGCGAACACTTCTACTGGATACATCATGGACTTCTGTGCTCTGAGGAGCATCTGGTATATCTGAGAAGAAAACCATACTACAAGAAGTCAAAAACGTTTTATACTAATTTTCATGCTTGATGTAGAAATTAGTATGCTTTAAAGGCGTAATATATATATGAATCAAAACTAGAAAATTCTATAAAAATAATTTAAAGGAATAATTTATTCTGAAATAATAAAAGTTTTTTTCCAAAGAAAAGAAGAATTAAACTATTTGTGTTGCTAGTTAGTGTTCTACAAGGATTTAAAATGTCTATCTTTCAGTGTTACTTGTTCACGTTAGTTTTATAAATAAACTGAAAAACCATCATTCTGTAACTATGCTTACTAACCATAACACGAACAATCTTCATTAGAATGATCCATTGTAAAATCATTTTTTAATATTTTTGTAATATTTATATACTCGTGTCTAAAAAATTCCGTTACTGGCTTTTATTTCCGTAACCGTTTGTCATAGATATAAACTTCCAGTTGTAAAAGTTCTTTATATGACAGTTTAGATGATTTAAATTGAATAAATCAATTTTGTTCAAAATACAAAACCTAATATTTTGCAGGCTGTCCTGGACTCTGCAGTCATATTTAATGAAAATTTATCCTAATTAAAACACACTACTTTTGACTTCACGTCGCCCAGACGAGAAAGTGGTTAGTGGCTCTCACTGGCTGTAAAGAAGGGTCCGGATTCGAATCCTGGAGATGGTATGATGTAAATTGTTGATCATTCATAGGTGGCCTAATCAGATGTCTCCCTAATAAAGTGGCCGCTTCTAGCCTAAAAAGTGACCAATGCCTAGTGCCCACCAGTAGCGGAAGGGAGGGCTTTTTGAATTCCATATTCCCCAAAAATAGATATAAATGTTTAATTTTAAAATGTTCTTATTTTTATGGAATTTACAGTTAAAGAAAATCGAATTTATCGTTCCCTCAGAAGATCGGTTTAAAAGTAAATTAGGATAAATCGAGGTTGCTTTTATTTCCATTTAAAGTCATTTAATGATTTACCTTTGTGATTCACTAATATGTAACATTCTTTAATTTATAATTTTATTACAATTAGTAACTCAAAATTATTTTCATGCAAGTAACTGAAAGATCTTCAAACTAGGGTTAGTAATACATGCATTAATTTTATTACATTAGGAACAAAATATAATAGTCATTATGAAAATACCCTAGACGAGAAAGAAGCATTCTGCAATTTTAATTAATGGAAATAATGATAAGAGTTGTCAATGTGCCAGTGATGAAGCCCATGATTGTTTTCTAGAGCACGAATTTGGCTTCGAAAAATATTTCGCCAAAGAAATAGAGTGAATTGTTTATAAATTTAACTGTAAAAGATAATTTCTTATAGTAATTTGAAGTGGTTGTGTGGTATTACTATTCCTATTAATAACGCATAGTAGATGAAAGGTACAGCAATAATCAGCATTGCAAAATTATTATATTTCACATACAATGTAATCAAACTGCATGAGAAACTACAAGGCAACATTCAACGCTATTACCTAATTACTAGTATCTGGCACGTAAAACTGTTTTAAATGCTTGAAAAAGATCTGAAGAAATTGGCAGCTTGTAGGATTGCTCTTGATGAAAGAGTCCTAAGAATTATGATAAACAAGTAAGCGACAAAAATGTTCTTGTGTATTATACCCTTGCACATCCCCACTCTAGTATCAGAGAAGTAAGCGAAACACCTGGGATATCAAAATCCTGAGTATGGCAAATATTACATGACAATAAATCACATTTATGCCGCCCAAGAGTTTAATCCGGAGACGAAGTCCGTTGATTCGATTTTTTAAATTTTATTCTGAATACGTTAAATGATAATCATCATTTAGAAGGAAACTTTTTGGATGGATGACTGCCACTTAGCTAGAGCTAGAGCTGTAAGTGGAAACTTACATTCTGAGTCTTGCAAAATGCACCCTTATACTTTGCAACAAACATCATGTATACTGGAATATAAATGTTTAGTGTGTGTTATAGAACAACACGCTGACTGGACTATTTAATTTTATGGTACTTCTGAAGTCGAGAAGAACAAAGATATTTTAAACAGACCATTTTGTGTGATTACTTGGAAAATAATGTTTCCCAGCAAGATTCGTTCATTGTCTAGTTTCACAATGAAAATGCCCCAGCACATAAATTCTCAGAGCCTTGCAGTATTCTTAGAACTATATGTATAACTAATATTATTATGCATAGTGGTCTAGTTAATAATTAACGGGTTTAAAATCTCTAGCTTAATATCACGCGGGTATTTTGAAAACAGAATTTCTGAAAGAGAATTAGTAAGTCACGCAGAACTGTTCAATAATACGTAACATCAACTATAACATAGTTGGTGATACAGCCATGAGTGTGCATGTAACAACAACTATCTTATAGGAATTTAAAGAATACTTTACTTTACGGACAGAAATATGCGTAGCAACTTAACATATCGAAAAAAAAAAAAAAAAAAAAAAAAAAAAACACCTATTGCAAACTTTGTCTCAGAATTTCTTACTGCGCTTTAACTGTTTTTTAAAGATGCATAAATCTGTTCTCAATATGTATTGTTTCTCGCGTACAGTTTCGTAATGGACTGAATGAATAAAAAATCGATGAAAACTTGATGAAATTTATTTTCCCGAAACATTTAATAGTTCTGGAACTTTTAACACAAAACGACACGCACAGCTCTATCTTTAAATTATTTTTACCTACTTACACAGCACAGTCAGTAGTTCCCGCTTCCATCCATCAAGAATATTGAAAACAAGACAATGTAAAGATAAAGTTCACACGATGATCGCTCAATAGTCTGAACTAAACTAAAACCTGATGTCATCTCTGGCCTGATATAGATTTTCTTCGGCCAAGAAATATCCAGTACTTTCGATTTTTTTCTAGGCAGGCATACACACTTTTAGTTATATAGGGCCGGATACATTGCAGTTACACATGAGTCGGACCAGTTACAGTTGAACAGGTATTAGACCAAAATTACTCTAAAAGGTAGCCAAGTTTGGCAACTTTTGTGATTTCTTTCCAAATTTGACGTCAAAAATTAGTCGCGAAAACGTAACCAAACTGTTCAATAAACTTATCCCTGTAACTCCATTTTTTAAAAATACTTTGCATTCTCATTGCTTTCATATTACATATACAAGAGATACCAGACTTTACATATAATTTCACTAAAATTACATGTATACGAAATTTGTAACACACGTTCCGAGCAGTATAATTCCTGGACAGAAAGCGATACTTAATACTATGAAAAATCAATAACTGAATGCGATATACAAATGCAGACATTTAGAAATTTATATCTATCATTTAGAAATTTATATTTATGTATATCGCATTCATTTATAAGTATATCGCATTCAGTGCTAAGATTATAGCATCATAATCTTAGCACTATGTAAGAACAGTCGTCCAGAGTGGTTGTATTTTAGGGGAAAGTAATTTCTGTTAAATAGGAATTCATAACCACAACTTGTCACCTACGGTGAATCAATGATACATAAGTTGATGTCACCTACATTGATGTTCTGTGGCTTACGTATCATATATTTTACATCACCAAGATGACTCGCTTTCGTGTAAAATTATGCATCACTTCAAACCGTGCCTGGAGATCTTGACTGAAAGCGCATCTGGGAGGTGACCAAACAACAGATCATTTGAGCAACAGGGAAGAGAGGTGCCCGGACCTGGCCAGCTCAAGGCCACCTTACTCTAGAATTGATCCAGAGAGGCATAACCCTCCGGTCGACCGGGGGAACAATTTTTGTTTCATTCAGTCTGGATACCAGAACGCAAAGTCAATGGTGGACGTCAACGCATGCATCGAAAAATCGTAGAACATAGTTGGACATCAACCTTCCCCCAGTATTGACAAGGGGAGCAAACACCCGAAAAACAACCTTCGGTACAAACCATGTAACATCTCCAGGACACAGCGGTAGACAAACAGTGTCTTATGGTCCTTGCCAAGCCTAAATCTACCAAAGAATAAACGATCGTTCTATTCAGGGTGAATACTGTTAACTTTACCACAGAAATCGAGTCCGGCTATGTACTGGCCCTAACCAGAACGCCGGGATTGCTCCTAGTCCGTCGCCGGGGATGAAGATGGTGAGACAGGGAAAAGTCAAGAACGAAAAGCATCTGGTATGGAGAATAGCTAGTACTCTTGTGGACAGCACTGCGAGACGTCAGTGTCATGTCACCCTCTTCCAAGTAGTCTTTTATGAACTCTTTGTTAATCCATGGGTCTGTTTCACACGATATTGAATTTTCAAGTTATTTAAGATCGGATTAACTGGACCCGTATTTCTCTTCAATTCGGACCGCATCCGGGTATGGATTTCCAGAGAGAACGTCCACGTTTTCGTATGACGAATTTTTTCGATAACAGATAGTGATAACGTAGTTGTGGAGTGACTGTATCCATCTGGATATTGGCCTTCGGAATTATTGAAATTTAAGAGCCAAAGCAATGATGCGGAAGAAGTATTTTCTACCGTAATGGTAGAAATGTTCTACAGCTTTAACTACGACAAGAAATAATTTCTTTGTGGCACAGTAATTCCTCTCCGGCTAAGATAGACACTTGCTCCAATATGCTAAGACATGTTCTTGACTACATGTTTCTTGGGATAAAGCAACACTGATAGTCTCATTGCTCGAATCCGTGTCAAGAATAAATAGTTTGCCGAACTGAGGATACGTCAGGATTGTCGCAGAAGTTAAAGTCTCTTTCAGTTTGTCAAATGCATTCTCACATTCTTTGGTCCTCGAGAACTTTTTATTTACACTCTGTCAGCTTGTGAAGGATCTTGGGATGGAAGAAATGCCCTTCACAAATCTCCTATAGTAGGTGCAAAGCCCCAGAAAACTTTTCAGTTGAGGGACATTTTCGGGACGTCTCCAGTAGTTCACTGCTGACACATTTTCTGGATCCGTACACACACCTTTGGAAGAGATGGTATGTCCAAGGTAAGTCA